ATGAAACAACTCTGTTGACAACTATAAAACACTAGTGAAAGAAATTAAATAAGACTTACATAAAGATACACCATGGTCATGAAAGGGCACATTCAGTACTGTAAAAATGTTATTCTCTCCAAATTGAAGTACAGATCCAACATAAACAAAATAGAAATTCCAGTAAAAATTTTTGGTGAAAATTTAAAGACTGATTGAAGATGCAAATAACCAAAAATAGCCCAAATAAAAAAGTAGTAAAAAATAAAATAAAATACAGCCTATATAAACTCCTCATTTTTATTACAGAGCAGCAATATGTACCCATGTGTTATATGTTCACCTGTTTTAGGGTATTGTTTCCTGCTCCAGGTTATTATAAATAAAGCATCCATGAACAACAATAAATAGCCCAAATTAATACTGGAGAGTAAAACTGAAGGACTTATACTATCAGTTATCAAGTAGTGATGGAGCTTGGTCATTATGACAATTTAGGCAAAAGAATTGACCACAAGGCCAAAAAATGTCTAGAACAGATCCAGAACTAATCAATAACCTGATTTATGACAAAATGATAAGGGGAAAGGGTGGTTATTTTGGTAATTCTGCTGGTCAAGTAGACATCCATATGAAAAGGAATGAATCTTGACTCTATACACAAAATTCCAGATATACTGTACATATAAATGTGAGCGGTTTTAAAAAGGATATTTTTAAGAGGAAAGCAAAAGAGAACCCTGTCAATTGGGAAAAAAAGAAAAGAAAAAAAGACAAGATTTTCTTAAACAGAACATAAAGAGCTATCATAAAGGAGAGGATTGGTAGGCTAGACTACACTAGTATCAAGAATTTCTATTCATGGGCCTCCCTGGTGGTTCAGGGGTTAAAGTCGCAGCACTATCAAGCTATTGCCAGTCACTGGCGAGAGCTCTATCCCTGGTCAAGGAGCTGACCCACATGTCGGAGCAGACCTCTCCTGTCTCACCCGCTGCTCCCCTCAGCAGTGTATTTCAGTATATCACCTGTTCTGCTCCCCACTTTGTCTCTGGTGAATCCTCTAGCCCCATCCCTCCTCCCGCCAGCACCTCTGGCCTATATCCCAGTTCTTATATGCATCAATAAATAAAATAAATATATAAAAAAAAACTATTCATTAAAAAGCATGATTAGGGCCTCCCTGGTGGTAAGTCTCAGCACTCTCACTTCCATGGCCCTTTGTGGCTGAGCAGCCTGAGTTCCAGGAAGCTACCCTCATGGCACAGCAGACCTCTCCTGTCTTGCCCGCTGCTCCCCTCAGAAGTGTATTTCATTCAGTCTGCCTGTTCTGCTCCCCACTCTGCCTCTGGTAAATCCTCTCACCCTCCCCCCATACCTCTGGCCTATGCCCCAGTTTTACTATGCAAAAATAAATAAAATAAAATAAAAATCTTACAATAAAGGAATTTTTTTTTTTCGTGGGACCCTCGCCGGCGGCCGGGTATGAACCGGCCGGGTATGAACCGACGCTGCAGAGGCCGCAGGCAGCCTTGCAGCCCAGCACTCAAAGGCTGCGTCACCTGGGGAGGCCCAAGGAATAATTATTTTAAAAGAAAAGCATGAAGGGCCTCCCTGGTGGAGCAGGGAGTTGGGATGCTGCCTATGGGGCTGTCCACAGCTACTGCAGCAAGAATTCACCTCTCAGCCAGGGAACTACCCAATCGAGCAGCAGACCTCTCCTGACTCTCCCCGCTGCTCTCCTCAGCAATAATTTCAGTCAGTCCGCCTGTTCTGTTCCCCAATCTGTCTCTGGTGAATCCTCTCACCTCCCCCATACCTCTGACCTGTACCCCGGTTCTTGTATGCATAAATAAATAAATCTTTAAAACAAAATAAAACAAAAGCATGAAAAGTTGAGGCATAGCATTGGCAGATATCTGCAATCATATAATTAAACAAAGGATTGATATGGGAACCTCCCTGGTGGCACAAGGGGTTAAGCATCAGCACTTTGAAGCTATCAGCAGCCACTGCAGCACAAGTTCAATACCCAGCAAGGGAGCTAAACTACACGGTGCAGCAGACCTCTCCTCTCCTGTCTTGCCTACTGTTCCCTTCAGCAGTGTATTTCAGTCAATCTGCCTGTTCTGTTCCCTACTCTGTCTCTAGTGAATCCTCTCACCACCAACCCCCTACCCCACACACCTCTGGCCTGTACCCCAGCTCTTGTATGCATAAATAAATCTTAAAAAAAAAAGGATTGATATGAATAAAACATAATGGCAGATAAATCAATAATGAAAAGGCAGAATAAAACAATTTAAGTATGGACAAAAGACTTAACTGGCACTTCATGGCTAACAAGCATATCCTTAGCTCAATTTTATTAGTCATCAAAGATGCAAGGCATGGCTAGCACTATGTACCTAACAAAATAATAAAAATAAAACAGGACAGAAAATTTCAAGTGTTGGCAAGGATGTAGAGCTAGTAGAACTCAAACACTAGCTGTTTGGTAATCTACATGAAAGCTAAACGTAAGCAAATTGTATGAGCCAGTAATTCACCTCCTAGGAATGTAGTCAATAGAATGCACATGCTATTTGCCAAAAGACATATATGATAATGGTCATGCAACATCACTGTTCCTTAAAAACAGAATGGATATATTGTGATTATGTATAAACTCAAAAACATGATATAAACAAGAGAAACAGGAAGCAAGAGTAGAAAACTCTCCTTGCTCTCTCAGACGAAGTCCCCACAGACAGCCTGCGCTCCCCTCTGCCTCCTCCTTGCACTGTTGGGTGGATAAAGCTATCTATTGCTGCAGTTCAGTAAAAGAACAAACGAACACACTCTTCAGAATCAGCTTTGTCAATGAGGTGATCTTTTGGGGAATGGAGAAAACGAGATCAAGAAAAAAATGATTATCATCAAGTATAGGGGAATACTGTAATAGAATACAAACATAAACAAGTTAAACTATTCCAAATGAACAACATAACCACATTGAGGGGGAAGTGTGGTGGGTGTGGATCTGGGTGTGGGTGGCAGACCAGCGACTGAGACAAGGACACAGGCAGTCAGTAGCATGTTTGGAGAGTTTGGGGAAATATAAGTATCCAAACACTGCTGAGACTGCCGGCATAATGTGAGAAATGATGGGAAACAAGACAGAAGAGTTCACTTGTATGAGGATCTTAAAGGTCTGGTATTCCACATTAATGAATCTAGGTTTCATTTGTAATTAGAAGTCACTGGAAGTTTTGCTCTAATTTTTGTTGTTGATTGTTTTGAGATAGATCACACAGAAGAGCACTAAATATGTTTAAGTAGGACAATCGGGACTTTGGAAAGAAAACTTGAACTGCCCTAAGTCAACATCCTGACTTCTCTGCTGGCTGGGATGCTTGTGACTATGTCCCCAGTACACAGCCCAGTAGAAGTAAAATAAATACTTACTGATAATAAAAACACTGAAATTGTCCCATCAAGAGATAAAGGTCTCAACTATAGAAGTAACTAAGAAAATGGAGAGGTGGGAGAGGTCAGATCTTTTAGAAAAAGAGAGACTCTAGAAGAGTGAGAGGAAAGCATCAAAGATGACTGAATTGGGCCTCCCTGGTGGCACAAGGGTTAAGACACAACCTATGAAGCTGTCCACAGCCTCTCCCGGCCAGCCAGGGAGCAACCCAAATGGCGCAGCAGACCTTTCCTGACTTGCCCGCTGCTCCCCTCAGCAGTGTACTTCGGTCAATCTGCCTGTTCTGTTCCCCACTCTGTCTCTGGTGAATCCTCTCACCCCGCACACCTTTGACCTGTTCCCCAGCTCTTATATGCACAAATAAATCTTTAAAAAAAATTTGAAATAAAAAGATGACTGAATTTTCCAATTTGGGTAACCATCAAGACACATGTAAGCGATTGAACAAAATATGTAACGCAAAGAAGGAGCAGGATTAAAAAAGAACATATTTACTAATACCCTTTAGAGACAGAGAAATGTACCAGTGATATCTCTTGGCAGTTACAAATCAGAAACTTGCAAGGAAGACTCTTCACTAAAAATACGGCTAGGTGTTTTTGGATATATATTTGTAAACCACTAAATTACTAGCCATTGGATTTTGACCTCCTCCTACATGTGTGAAATTATTTGATGAAGGGAGATTATTCATAGCAATAAGGTTTATAATAACAATATTTTTTAGAAACCCCTAAAATGCATATCAATATATGATTGGTCAAATGTCTGATTTCTTGTTTGTAATGGCTCAATCAAATAGGAGGTCAGCATTTTTTGAAAGATAATTGAAGTCAAGAAATAGAAAAGGGGGCCTCCCTGGTGGCTCAAGGGTTTAAGCACAGCACTGTGAAGCTATCCACAGACTCTGCAGCAAGAGTTTGATTCCCTTTGATCCCGGGGGGGAGCAACCCACATGGTGCAGCAGACCTCTTCTGTCTAGCCCACTGCTCCCCTCAGCAGTGTATTTCAGTCAGTCTGCCTGTTCTGTCCCTCACTCTGTCTCTGGTGAATCCTCTCAACCCCCATACCTCTGGCCTGTACCCCAGTTCTTGTACACATATATAAATAAATCTTAAAAAAAAAAAAAGAAATAGAAAAGGTTAACTGAGGGCCTCCCTGGTGGCGCAAGGGGTTAAGACACAATCTATGAAGCTGTTCACAGCCTCTGCAGCACAAGTTTGATCCCTGGCCGGCCACGGAGCAACCCACATGGCGCAGCGGACCTCTTCTGGCTTACCCGCTGCTCCCCTCAGCAGTGTACTTCAGTCAATCTGCCTGTTCTGTTCCCCACTCTGTCTCTGGTGAATCCTCTCACCACCACCCCCACCTCTGGCTTGTACCCCAGTTCTTGTATGCATAAATAAATCTTTAAAAATAAATAAATACAAATAAAAATAAACTAATGCATCGCTGCACAAGTCATACTTGAGGTAGGTCCACAAATTCTTAGAAGTAACTTATGCAGCCACCCGGATCACTCTCCCAAGTCTCACAGGGGTCTCCCAGTCCTTACCTCCAAAGGCACAGTGGCAGGTGGTTTCTTTTTCAGTTCCTCACATTTCCTCTTCTTACAAATCTGATGGCTATTTTTTCTGTTCTTGCAGTAAGTACATTCACCACAGTTGGTCTTCTGCTGGCAGGGTGCACAGACCCCGCATCGCTTTCTTTTCTTCTTTTCCAAAGTAGGTTGCGAAGTTTTATAGGAAGAAGAGGAGGTGCTGGCAACTGACACTGGGATAGACACAACAGTGGTGTTGATCGTGCTGGTCATGCTGGGCTGGGAGCTCACCCCTTCTGATTTGCTGGGACCAGCCTGGCAGAGTTGGGCAATGCCCTGTGAAGCCTGATAGTGTCCTCTCTCAGAGGCTAATGCAAACCCCTGAGTATTCAGCGGCAGAAAGCTTTTATGAACCTCATTTTCTTTATTGCTCAGAGCCATCATTGGAGGTACCGAGCTTATCTCTGAGTCTGATGATGGCTGAGGGGTGTGGCCTGAGCCCAAAGGCAATATCTGCATAGCACCCTGGACATCAAGCCCATACGAAAAAGTGCTCTGGGATTCAGGCCACTCTGGGAGAGCATTAAAGGTAGCAATTGGGTTTAGAGGGGCAGGAAGAAAAAGAGGTGAGTCTGAGGCAGTACCACTGGCCACACCAAGGATTTGTTGATTTAGGATAGCACCAAAGACCTCTCCTTGGATTGAAATAGCACCAGGAACCTCTGGTGGGTCTGTTGTCTCACCGAGAGCCTCTTTATGAACTATATTAGCACCAGGAACTTCCCATTGATGTGGGATAGCACTAAAGGCCTGTCCTAGGACAGGGGCGGCATCAGTAACTTCCTGTTGATCTGGGGTAGCTTTAAGTACCTCTTGATGATCTGGTTTAGCACCCAGGGTTTCTTGTTCTGAGCCTGCCAAGAGGAGTTTTATTAATGAGGTAGGATATATTGACCCACCAATAGACAAACAGTTTCCAAGGTCCAATTCAGGAATAACCTTATTAAAGCTGGAAGTGGGACAGCATCTTTGTTCATTTTTGATAGGATCCAGGTAAGAATCAGATAGCTTAAGAGATTCTACTCGTGAACCTAAATCTTCTAACTGAATGTTGGGATTTCCTTCAGAGGTAACATTGAGGGCTGCTCTTTGGAGCAAAGGAGCACATAGGGTGTCCTGAGCAAATATTTGAGGGGAATCGCTGTTATTCAATGTCTCCTTAGATAATGATTCTTCACCACCATGTGTCCCTTCCAAAGACCCAGAAAGAATCTCTGTCTCAGAGCCACAGTGATTGGGGGTATTTGCTTTGGAATCCTCGACCCTTTGGGACCAAGATTGGATTGTCTCTTGGCTCTCACCTTTAATTGAAGATGCATTTTGTACACTGATTAGATTATCTATGTTAGGAGGGTTTAGAGGGTCTTGCACTGACACCGAATCATTTTCTGAATGCTTTACTCCCATGTCACTAAGTACCTTATGTTTACATTCATGTCGCTTTTCTAAATTCTTAGGAGGTGGAACTTTTTTAGGTTTGGCTATGACCACTGGGGGTTGGGAGAGTCGCCTGCTAAGGGAGGTACTTCGGAGAGCCATTGTAAACCCATTGCAAGTTAAGGACTCTGGGTTCTGAAAAAGAACCTCAGTCCTATCCAAATTCATCCGTGCTGCTCCAGCACGTGTCAGAAGGCTTCTCACTGGCATAGGTGGTTTGGGTTCTGTTTTTTTCTTAACATCTCTTTCTTGAATTACTTGTTTTAATTTTCCAGGGTTCACAGTCTTTACTGATGCGGCATTTTTGTTGGCTGGTTTGGATGTCTTCTTCAGTTGGCTGGTTTTCTTTTTGCTTAGATCTTCCCTCCTGACTAATCTGGAAGGCCTTGCATGGCGGGATCGAGACATAGCTACAGAGTAGGAAAAAATGAAAGGGCACAGGGAACAGAGTCATTGGTCCTTTGGAAGGTCTCACTGTTGAGGAGAATCTGGATGTACCATGGTTGCACTTAGTCACACAAGGTTTTGTTCTGAAATAACAATAACAAAAAAAACTGTGAGTGAGCCTTTTTTTCCTATGCATTGTGCCATTTAAGATAGAGCAATTATTAATTAAAATCAGGGAACTGAGAATGTTTACTAGCAAAGAAAGATATAACAGACAACAAACACTGCTCAAGTATAGTTTAAAGCCTACATTCACAATAAAGTTCTTTTAATTATTGTGACAACTGATTAAGCTGATGAAATTCTTTGAATAAGTATGATTTCTTTTACAAAATTATTGTAGTTACTTGTAGTTTAAAACTCAAGTCCCAAACTTTACAAATTTGAATAATTAAAATATTATCTCCTAAACTCTTTCCTCAGCATATCAATGAGCAGGCAGAATTATCATCTCTCTGAGAGTAAAGCTGAGCAAGTCAGAGGAAGAAGAGTTTATGGAATCCAAGAAGCTCTATTTCTTAGTGATCCAATAATATTAATATCACATTCCAAATAACAATCCACAAAATTTGAGCTTTTCACATGCACACAAAAAATAGCATAAAATCTTGAGTTAGTATTGACAGATTAAAGTGCAAATAAGATTCAGGGGTCCAACAAGTATTTGCTGAGTACCTACTATGTGTAAGGAAGGCATTGTGGTGGGCCTTGCCCACACCCAGAAATGATGTCCCTCTTTTCTTTCACCCGACTTAATCCAAAGACTGCTGGTTCTAAAATCCCTCCTACCAAGGGTCCCAAAAGTCTCATGATGAATTCCTAGGCAAGGAAAGTGGGAATAAAGAGAAAAGATAATTAGAACAGTAAAGCATACTAGATAAGCAACTACCGTTTGAAAGCAGAGAAGAGGAGAAAATGAAAAGGACCGACCAAGAATCACCATCAGTTTTGCCTTTTTATCTCCTTGGACTGCTTGTCCTGAACCAAAAATAAGACCTAGCTCTGGACCTCCCTGGTGGCGCAAGGGGGTAAGATACAACCTATGAAGTTATCCGCAGCCACTGCAGCACCAGTTCGATCCCCGGCCAGTTTGCTACGCACATAGCGCAGCAGACCTCTCCTGTCTCGCCCACTGCTACCCTCAGTAGTGTTTTTCAGTCAATCTGCCTGTTCTGTTCCCCACTCTGTCTCTGGTGAATCCTCTCTCTCTCTCACACACACACACACACACACACCCCCCACACCTCTGGCCTATACCCCGGTTCTTGTATGCATAAATAAATAAATCTTTATTAAAAAAAAAAAGACTAAGCTCTGAGCAACTAAGAGCAACTAAGCTCTGTTATCAACAGGCTGGGTCTCCCTGGTGGCACAAGGGGTTAAGCACCGCACTATGAAGATATTCCAAGCCTCTGCAGTATGAGGTCTACCCCAGGCCAGCCAGGGAGCAACCCACATGGCTTGGCAGACCTCTCCTGTCTCGCCCGCTGCTCCCCTCAGCAGTGTGTTTCAGTCAGTCTGCCTGTTCTGTTCCCCACTCTGTCTCTGGGGAATCCTCTCACCCCCGGCATCTCTGGTTTGTACCCCAACTCTTGTATGCATAAATAAATAAATCTTAAAATAAATTAATAAAATTTTAAATAAATAAATAGATAAATTAGATAAAATCATAACAAAACAAAAAAAATCACTCCAGTTCCCTTTAAAAAATAATATAAAAGGAAAACTGGGAGCTTAAAAAAACTTTTTATAACTTCAAAAAGAAGAGAATATCTAAATGGTAGTTATTATTACTATATAACCAGCTTAACCCATAGTCTGCCACATCCTGAGAAAGCAATATCTAGTTAATTTCTGTTCACACCTAACATACTGTTCATAACACATTGTAATAAAAGATTGCAGAGCACATTTAGGGTCAGAACACTGTCCCTCTAAGGCTTTTAAAATAGACATTAGTGATAACATTAACCACAAGAAAAATAACATTTTGATAAATCTGTGCTAAATACAAACACTAAGTCAGAGAATACTTCCAGTTCTTGGCATGCAAGTATACTGCTCTCTTCCTTTTCTTAAAAAAATGTTTTGGTTTACTAACTCTTTGGCTATTAAAAACTGTAGAATGTTTTCTCCAAAGACCACCACTTTTTGTACCAGCGTTTTTAGAAAACAAAAGAAATTCTAATTCTAATCTCCAGAAAATCAGCAATCTTTATAAGAATTTTTTTTTCCAGATGTCAAAAAACAATCCATTCCTTTCTCTAGAAATTCAGCAATATCAATATAAATATGCTTTATCTCTTGTATCAAGCTTATGTTGCTTTAAAAAATTATTAAGTATATGCAATCTGGGTATTGCAATCGACTATAAAAATTAAAATTCATGTATGTAGGCAAGTAATCTGGATATACCAGATGGTGTCATGGGATCTGCTTTTGAAAGTAATTTTTAAATTGATCTCTGTCTCTTCTATATTCTTTTATATTTTTAAATTGAAGTGCTTTAGAAATTCAGACTTGTAATTAAGATAATGTTTACTATTCAAACCTTATCTCCTAGGAAAGAGACTGCCAAGGAAATGGAAAAGGTATGAGCAACATGGATTGGGAAGATGTGGCCTCTTTAAATGGTAACAGCTTTTTTATGAGATTGTGAAAAAGGCAAATGACCCCTGAAGAACCCAACTGCAGGGGAGAAACCGCTGGGTACCACCCAGCCAAAGAAGGAGAGATAATCAGAAACAAAATAAGGACTCTCACAAGATTCTAATTTTATCACCCTGGGCTCCACTGATGAAATGTAATCTTTTGTTATAAACTAAGTTGTCCCCAGGGCTGAATTGTTGGGAGACAGGCAGCAAGCTTTTTTTTTTTTTTTTTCAATTTGGGGGGGGGGCGGAGAAAGATAATGTAATGCATTCTGTTAAATAGGTCTAATTTAATATGTAATTATCCTCAAAGACCTATAGAACTTTTATTTGCCATATTAATTTTAAATGCTCAATTTCCTTTTTTCATCTTTCAGTTATTATTGATTATCTAAGTCATACAAAAAGGCATATTTATAACTAACACCAATTCCACTTCCATTTTTCCTTTCTGATTAAACTGACATTTCAACATTTCTCAAAATTGGTTTTATTCCACTTTAGAATTTTTTCAAGAGTGTAATGCCACAGAAATGGGATTATATGATCAGAAATGAAGAGACTAGTGTCCCTATTATTAAACAGTCCCAGGAGGAAAACATTATGCAATTAATTGACACTATGCCATAAGTTCTCCTTTCCCTAGAAAACAAAATGAAAAAAAATAAATAAATAAAATAAAACCAACAACTATGAGATATGAAACACTTCTTTGGTAATAAGTTTTTCACCAATGGGCATCAAGAGTCTTAAGCATTAATATACCCCGAAAATGTTCTGAACCATTAATACACCCCACCCCGAAAATGTTCTTGTGACATAGGGGACTGGAGTGTGTGAGATTCAAACACAGGAGCTAAGAGACCAACTCATAATCTGAAACACAAAAAGACACAACACCACCCCAGAAGTAGAGAACATGAGGTTAAGGACAGAGTAGAAAAGTGGCAAAGAAAAGGCCCCAGGGTGAATGCGATAACTAGGTAGGGCTTGTGTAAAAATCAGCTAATTATTCACATATAATTTAAACGAACAAAATTGGTCAACAAAATCAGAATTGTTGCCTCAGTATTGTGTGAGCTTACTGAGTCTTTCCTAAAGAGAACTTTTGGGGGTGTTCATTTTTTTACATTATCGAACCACCTTTTTAGAAAACGAAAAGCCAACTCCCTAAAGTCTATCAGTTGTCTGTAAAGGACAATAGTGACAGAACCAAGTCAGGAAAACTTTTCCCACCTAGTTCCCTCCTCCAGTGTCTCCCAAAGTCCCATGGGCAGGAAGTGGCTGAATTGAAGCAACCATCCAGCCCGCATATCAATTTAAAATTATATTGCAATCCTTCCCACTACCAGCAGTGTCCAAAAAAGTGGTATCTGCATACTAGAGCTAACTGCAAAACTAACTCCAATTTCAGTCATTCCATTCAGCTCCTTAGAATTTAAAGGCAATTGCCCTTGACTGAGAAATATAAGACTTAAAACATTTCTTTTTAAAAGGCACCACCAGTCTCCGTTTCCACCAGCAGCTAAGTTCTACATCTAAGAGGAAGAGGAGGTGGGCGGTTTGCTTGCTGTTCCTAGATAGTTTTCTACCACAGGAAGTTTAAGAGCCTTCGGCACATGGAAAGGCTGTTCAGGGGAAACTCTGTAGAATGCCAGCAGACTTAATCAAAGCCTCCTTCCATATGTAAAACACTCCTGCTGCCCTGCAGAGAGTAAGAAAAAACGGCCCAAAGCGACCACAGAAAAGGGAAGGGAGAAGTTAAAATGGAGATAGACCCTTCCAGAAACGAGAAAAGCATAAAACGCACTGGGAAGAGGAAGAAGCACAAGAAGGGGAAAAAAAAAAAAATCTAAAAAGAAAAAAAAAAGCCAAAAGACAGATGAAGGGAAAGAAATTTACAGTAGTAAAGGTAGAATATAAAAAGGCAACTGGGATCAAAACTCTCAAGACTAAAGGTAGAGAGAAGGGGGGAAGGGGGAACTTGATTGTGCAGGGAAAAAAGAAGATACAAACACTCAGAAAAGAATGGGGGAGGGGAGCGACAAACCAGATAAAGAAGATTGGAGGGGAGGAGAAACAAAGGGCAGGCACAGAGGTGATCCAAACCTCTGCTACCAATTCTGGAAGACCCGCGTTGAGAGCTATAGTTACTCTAATTAAAATGGTGAGTGGTGATCCCAGTGATAAACTACTGATCTTTGCGAAAAATGGAACACCACTAACTCCCGTCTATCATGATTGTGAAATTTCATTGAAATCTTCACAAGACTTTCAAGACTGTTGGGGGCTGACAACCGACCTAATGGAGATCCCTTAACTGGGGAGGGCAGGGACTTGTTTTTAACCTGTGTAATCAATACAGATAAAATCTGGTTTTTACAGATAAAATCTGGAAAACCACCCAAAATCTTACCTAAGCCTTTCAGAAATAACAGGGACTAATCTCCAAACAATGCCTATTTACCTACCTATCTACGTGACCCTCCGTGTTGAATTGTAGTTATAAATTCCTAAAATGCCCTAAATAACTCTTGCCCTAAATGGTTAACAAGCGCCTTTTCCATATAGTGGAAATATATATAGGCATTCTTAGGTAGAAGGAAGGCAAAGTTTTCATTTTATTGTACTTTATCTCTTGGGAGGGGGAGAGGCTGATAAGCACATTTTGGTTCAGGTCCCGCTGGAGGCTGCTGCCCTTTAGCGCCGCCCTGCAACCCAACCCCCGGCACAGCGCGCAGCGCACCCGCCGACGCTGGGTTTGGCACTTAATCTTCTCCTTGCTTCAGGTCTTGAAGCACTTTTCAAACCCTTCCTCATAAACTGATCATTACTATAATGTATTATGCAGCTCATCTTGTGCCGGACGGTGGAACATTTGGGGGTGGGGGGGCGAGGAAGAGGCACTAGGATGACCGAAGCAAGATGGTTAATGGGGAGGAGGGCGAGTTGGGGGCAGGGAAAGGCTCCCAGTTAAAGCATTATCTGTCCTCTTGATGACACATTGATTTTTTTATTGGTTCGGAAATGCCCGATTTGGGCTCCCCGTTATGTGGAAGGTTGCTGGGACCGGCCAGTAAGTTCCTGGCCACTTTTTGTAGACGGACTGCGCGCAGCCCTGGGAGAAGCAGGGTCTGGGAGTGCAAGGGAGGGCAGGGGGCGGGGGGCGGGAGTGGAGAGGGAGAGAGGAAGACAGGCGGAAAGAGGAAGAGGGAAAGGCAGGCAGAGTGATCGAGCCCTGTGTCTCCCCCGACACGTGAAGGGGCGGCGACCCTGCCACCGGCTCTGGCCGGGAGCGGTCCCTCACGCGCGGCTCGGCGGGTCCCCGGCACCCAGCTCCGCGCCCCGCCTCCGCCCGCCGGCTCCGGGATCCCGCCAGAGCGGGACTGATGTGGCCGCAACGCCTGTTCGGAGGCCGGGTGGCCCTCACAAAAGACTTGTTTTAAAAGCCATCTGAGAGCCTCCCTGATGGCGCAAGGGGTTAAGACACAACCTATGAAGTCATCCGCAGCCACTGCAACACCAGTTCGATCCCCCGGCCAGGGAGCTACCCACATGGCGCAGCAGACCTCTCCTGCCTCGCCCGCAGCTCCCCTCGGCAGTGTATTTCACAATCTGCCTGTTCTGTTCCCCACTCTGTCTCTGGTGAATCCTCTCACCACCCCCCACACCTCTGGCCTGTACCCCAGTTCTTGTATGCATAAATAAATAAACCTTAAAAAAAATAAATAAAAGCCATTTGACACAACACTAATTTTGTGCTCCAGACCCTTCTTCCCGGATCCGTGCAGCTCCAGGTCAGCCCCTGGCAAGCCTCCTCCACGACCTCCACTCCTAAAGTTATGGTCCCCGAAATCCGTTCCCCAAAACGCTAAAGGAGACAAGGCGCCAAAATGTTTTCCCAACGTGTCGTCTATCTAAACCTGGGAGAGGGGAGAAAAAAAGTTTGTGGGAACGCTTGGCCACGGGCTAGCCAGGCTCCCCACCAGCAGCTCGCCCTAACTCTTCGCTCCCCTCGCCCAGAGGGCTCCCGACCTCGGACTCACCTACGAGGCGCGTGGAACGCCGACGCCGGGCTCGTCCCCAGGCCGCACTGGCCCTCCCCCAGTCGGGTTGCAACGAAATCCGGGGTCCGAGCCTGAGGCGACCTGGCTCCCCCAACCTAAAGTAGCAGCCGGGGCCCGGGGGGGAGACGGCCGCGTCTTCCAGCCGGGGGCCGGGTCATTGTTTATCACACAACAAAAGCGCCGGGGGCGACCCAGGGTGGAGGGTCGCCGCTGCAAGCGGGCGCACCCCTGCGGCCCCGGGAGGACCCGCGGACTGCGAGCCCCAGCCCAAGTCCAGCCGGAGAGCAGCGCCGCCCCTCGCACCCCAGCGCGGCCTCGGCGGGCGGAATCCCTCACCCCTGCCCCTTGCCAGCGCCCCAACTCACCTCTGGCCGGTTCAGGCTGCGAGGGCAGCTCCCGACCCCAACCCCTTCTCCCTCCGCCTCCCGCTCCAAGCCTGCACCAGCCCTCGAGCAAACTTTGCAACTCGCGCGAGTGCCCACAACTTCTGAGCCCGGGGCCAAGGCAGGCACGCGGGGAGAGGGCTGGCCCGGGGAGGACACCTACCGGCTCCCGGCACGGTCAGGGCCCGAGCCCCCGGGGTGGGCGGCTGCTTCCCAAAGGTCCGCAGAGGAGAGGCAGGTAGAGTTGCATGACTGGGGCCGGCAGGGGCGCGTCCCGGGGGGCAGACCCAAGAGCAGGAGGACGCGAGGCTGCGCGCACAAAGCGGCGCCGGAATGAACTGCGCTGCCACTCCCCGCCAGGTCAGCCCCCCGGAGCAGCAGTGTCCCTGGGACAGACCTCAGGGAGAGAAGCTGGGGTTTTGCCTTTTCTGGACCCTGCACCGCTGAGCGACAGGCAAAACGCGAGCTGGATTTCCCCAAACTGGAGCTGGACTCCCCCTCTCGACCCCCCTCCCCACCACTTCACCCTCCTCACTCCCAACTTTCTTTTTTTTTTTTTTTTGAGGTCAAAGGGTATCAAAGAGGGAGAGAGGTGTCAATATTTTCTGGCCATGATCTATTTTTTCCAACGGGTTTTCAGACCAAGATAGTTTTGGGGGGGTCTCTAAATTGAATGTTCATAGATACATAAATGGGTTGCCGGGTCAGAGGTGATTCCATGAGTAGTATCTGGGTCTGGAGCGATGGAAAATCGCCCTCAACCCCAAAGACAGAGCCAGATGAGCCAGATGAAGGTGGGATTTCCTTGACTCAGCCCTCCATGTCTGCAAAGGTCATCACAACGTTTTGTTTTCTGGGTTTTTTTTAGTTAAAACTTGGCCCTGGATCTCACCAATGATGGTTTTCATTTTATGGATGAAGAACTAAAAGCTCAGGAAAAAGTCAGTTTTTCACTGTAGGAGAAATAACTAGTGGCATTTAGCCAAAAATTAAGAGTGACTGGGCATCTGAATTTCTCCCTTAAACATGTGGTAGTTGTTGCTTCCAGCAGTCAGTGATTACACATACAGGGAATAGAGATTTTTTTAATGAGGTCACAGGTATTCAGGAAAATGCTGTTCATGGAACTATAGTTCCTCCCAGGTCAAACTTCAACTGAAGGGAAAGATTCATTCTATCGTTGCCTTCCATGCCATTCTACCCCCATTTGAACATATTTTTTTATTCTTTGTCATATACTTGCTTTAATGAGCATAATCAGATTGTTCCTTTGAGAAAGATGTCTAAACTTTCAGCCTTTCTCACAGATTGATTCATTCAAATTTATTCTTCAACAAAAACAAACTTGTTCTTGAGGTAGAGTTCAGGCATACAGAGATGAATAAAATTTGCCTTTTTCCCTGCAGGAACACAGAGTCTAGGTTGGTAAGCACAAACATTTAATGACTGCACTGCAGTTTTTTCAGTGCTACAGTTAGATAAGTACTGTGGTAGGAGGAAGTCAGAAATGTGGCACTGCAAATAAATCTTACTCTTCTTAATCAATATTTTCAAAAGTCAAACTATTAATGCCTTCAGAAACAATCTTCTAGGACCTCTATGAAAAGATTGGGGATTTTGTCTTGATTTTCATAAAGAGCAAAAAGAAAAAGACTGTCATAAAACTGCAATATCCTGGTTTTTGTTAATTAATCACAATGATTAATTTTTTAAAGCATTGAAATAGGAAAATCACAGACCTAGAACATCCATGGTAAATATTCTCTTATAAATGTTAGTTGAGTCTGTACTAAGTGCCAGGCACAGGTCTAAGCTGTGGAGTGGCCATGGGCAATACAAAAAACCTCTGCCCTGTGGAACTTGGATTTGATCAAGGATGGGAGGAGAGTGAAAAAAAAAAAGATAAGCAAGTAAGACAAGTAAGCAGACTATATATAGTGCCATGAGAGGGCTGAAAATTTAAATAGAACAATCTAAAAAGAACTTACTGATTTGATCTGAAAGAGATGAGGTAGGAAGTTGGAGAAAGTTTTATGCCTATGAAAAGAGCAACAGCAAAAGCCTTGAATGTGAGATCATGTTTGCAGCAAAACAACTATTTAACAATGAAAAATTGGAAACTGTCTAAACACCCTTTAAAAAGATGGATTATTCTTACTAGCCAAATCTGGGACAATTTTGAGTTTGGAAAAGAGGTCTAACTTCCCTGGTGGTGCAGGGGTTAAGTCTCAGCACTATCAAGCTATCACCAGCCACTGCAGCAGGAGTTGGAACCCTGGCCAGGGAACTGACCCACATGGTGCAGCAGACTTCTCCTGTCTCACCTGCTGCCTCCCTTCAGCAGTATATTTCAGTAAAATCTGCCTGTTCTTCTCCCCATTCTGTCTCTGGTGAATCCTCTCACCCACCATCCCCACCTTTGGCCTAAATCTCAGTTCTTTTATACATAAATAAATTAAATTTTAAAAAAATGTCTAACTTGAAAAAACAAAATTGGGAGTCATCAACATGCACTAGATGCTATTTAAAATAGTGCCCTAGGAAAATATTACATATATACTTCAGAGAGAGAGAGAGAGAAAGAACGAGAATTTCTTTCCTAAAGAACATAATCTCTATTTGCAAAAAAATTAAATTTTGGCAATAGTAAGTATTGATAAGGAACTCATACATTCCTGGTAATATACATTACTGGTACAACAGCTTAAAAACACAGATTGATTATTCTCCATAAGCTATCACGGACAGGGGCCTCTCTGGTGGAGCAACGGTTTAAGACAGCACTGTGGGGCCTCCCTGGTGGCACAAGAGGCTAAGACACAACCTATGAAGCTATCAGCAGCCACTGCAGCACAAGTTCAATCCCTGGCCAAGGAGCTACCCACATAGTGCAGCAGACCTCTCCTGATTCCCCCGCTGCTCCCCTCAGCAGTGTATGTCAGTTAATCTGCCTGTTAATGTTTCCCACTCTGTCTCTGGTGAATCCTCTCACCCCACACACCTCTGGCCTATACTCCAGTTCTTGCATCATAAATAAATAAATCTTTTTAAAAAAAGATATCATGGACAGATGATAGATAGATAGATAGATTGAAAGATAATATAATATAACAGTAAGTAGGAAAGAGTTAATTATCCTTTTGTGACCTGGGAACAGCACAATCCGCCCAGTCCTGGGAGTCAGCAGGGGTGGCTAGGCAAGATAAAACCAGTCATAGCTTAGCATTAGAAAAGATCTAATGCTGTCCATTGTATGAGAAGTCCAAAAAGAAGAAGAAAACCCCAGGGAATTACCACAGAATTTGCACTGAGCAGAATTTCAGGAACTAGCACTTATGAGCAGATTAAGACCTAAAATCATTTCCTCACTCCTTTCTAATCAGAATCAGGGTCTAGGGTGGGGGTGGAGTCCATGAAACCTGTGTTTGTGGAGTTGCTTCAGGACATCCTTTCCCTACAACTGTCCCGCTGAGGGGAGGAGCTGCTCTCACAATGGATAAGCCACCACAAGACCATCTTCTTCAGAGGCCAGCGAGTCAGGCACAGTGTTCCAGCTGAAGCCCAAGGTAATGGGCACCCTCCAGCGGTCACCTGATGAGCAGCATCTGTACCAGGATGATCAACTTCTGTGTGATGATGAGACACAGGGCAAGTGGGGCTTCACTAAATGTGCAGCCACAGGCTGCATTCACAGTAGCTTGCCACAAAGGAAATATTTGAGAGGCTGTCTCTGCACATCGAACCTGACTCCTACCAGCTGAAGCGGCCTGATGTGATGTCCAGATGTCCATATTCCCTTCCCCTCAACTCCCAAATTCATTTAAAGCCATCTTAATTGCCTGGTAAGTCTCTCCTAACAAATGCATTCTCTCCAGCTTTGTAAATAGGGGGAATGAAAAGTTTGAGACAGATATAGGTTTACCGGGAATGTCCCTCTCCTGTTCTGTGCTCTCTTTCCCCTATACTACCCTCATTCTGGTCAACTTGGAGGACTCATCCTCATCCCTCAAAATCCAGTTCAGAGACTTCCTTTTCACCGTCCAAGCAGATTTTAGAAGTTGTATATCTCTCAACAGTGCCTCTGCAGCACCGCCAGCACCTCAAAAATGTATGCCCCTCCAGGGCTTAACTTTCTTTTTTTTTTTTAAACGATTTATTTTATTTATTTATGCATATAAGAACTGGGGTGTAGGCCAGAGGTGCAGGGGCTGAGGGGTGAGAGGGTTCACCAGAGACAGAGTGGAGAACAGAACAGGTGCATGTACTGAAATACACTGCTAAGGGGGAGCAGCTGGGGAGACAGGAGGGGTATGCTGAGCCATATGTGGGTTAGCTCCCTGGCTGGGGATCAAACTCATGCCACAGTGGCTGGCCAGAGCTTGATAGCACTGAGACTTTAACCCTTGCACCACCAAGGAGGCCCTTAACTTTCTTTTTTTTTTTCCGTAACTTTCATTTTTATATTCATTTTATTTCATTTTTATATCCCCTTTATCTAGAGGGCTTGGCACCTAATAAAGAGTCAATATTTAAATAAAAATTCGTTAAACGCCTCTCAAGACTGTAATTATGTAATTCTATATGCTTGGACAAATGAAGCTAATCTCTTGGCAAACTCACAGCGTCACAATACCTCACACATGCCATTGAAAGTATAGAACCTTCTATAGGCCCTCACAAAGCAAGGGCTCTGTGAGTCTCTTTTCCCTCCCTCCCCTTCGATATAAGAAGCATTTCAAAAATAACTGTCATTGCCTCGAATATTTCTAAGCCTTTGCCAACTCCAAAATTCTATTATTTAAAATCTACAGGGCCGGGCCTTCCCGGTGGCACAGCGGTTGAGCGCTGGGTTGCGAAGCTGCCTGCAGCCTCTGATCGTTCCCCCGCTGCTCCCGGCCACCGCAGGAGGGTCCCACATGGCGCGCAGACCTCTACTGCCGCCCGCTGCTCCCCTCAGCGGTGTACTTCAGTCCTTCTGCCTGCTCTGCAGCCTGCTCTGGCTCTGGTGAATTCTCTCACCCTCCCGTGCTTCTGACTGTACCCAGTGCTTGTGTAAATAAATAAATAAATATACAAACAAACACAGAACTTATTCTTCTCAAAAAATAAAAATTAAAAAAAAAATCTACAGGGCCTCCCTGGTGGCGCAAGGGGTTAAGCACCACACTACGAAGCAATCTGCAGCTTCTGCAGCACGAGTTCCATCCCTGGCTGGCCAGGAACAACCCAGGCCAAGCAGACCTCTCCTGTCTCGCCCGCTGCTCCCTTCAGCAGTGTATTTCAGTCAGTCTGCCTGGTCTGTTCCCCACACCTCCCACACCTCTGGCCTGTACCCCAGCTCTTGTATGCATAAATAAATAAATCTTAAAAAAAAAATCTA